TTGGTCCACCAGGCAGTTGCTGCTTCAGGGTTCCCGCCGAACAATCGGCACGGGATTTGATACCCTGGTTTGGTCGGACAACTAGATTCCGGATACTAAACCTCGTCCGGTGATTAGTAACACACAGACACCAATCCCAACGCTTAAGGTGGCGGACCTTGTGCACAGGGGCTCTTGTAGAAGGAATATCTAGGCTCTCTAGGCTTATATTCATCCTGTGGACATCCCTCGAGTCCTCAGTTTACGATTATCCAGTCGTCTGATGGAAGATGGTTTTTGTTGGCATGATACCACCTCTGTTGAGTATACGGTTAAATCATGCTATGAGTTGGCCCGTCTCCATAAAAATGCAGATATGCAGTTTCAGCTCCAATTGTCCTCGGATGCTCCTCAAAAGCGTTTGTCTAGAAGATCCCGGCCCCCAATAAACTACGCCATTTTCTTGGGCAGTGTTTAGCAGGAGCGGTAGCGGTTAATGAGCGACTCCATTACCGACATATTCGTTCTTTAGCTAGTTTTCCACGATGTCAAGCGTCAGTAGAGACCATCAACAATGTTGTCCTAAGGCGCGTCAGACCTGGGACCTTACCCCGCTCCATTGGAGAGAGGATACTGGCCCCTCGGAGAGCTTAAGAACGAACTTTGACTACCTATTTTGGCATATACAGTCGTCTGAGGCCTTTGTGGAGGTTACTCAGGGCTACCCATGGATTATCTGGTACATTTGAAAGGCACAGAACGAAATGGTGTTCAATGAGGTCGACAGAGCACCTTCGGAGATCTTGGCAATAGCACTAAAGGAATCTGGCGAGTGGTGGCAGGCTAACACTACAGATCAAGTAATCACAGGGGTTCTCCCTCAGGGACCCCCTCGACCGTAGAGTATTTTTTCTTGCGCGACTGACGGTTCGTGGAAAGGAGACGAAGGCACAAGTGGTTTAGAGTGGGTTCTACATCTTCAGGATGGTACGACCAACATGCTTGGAATACAAGGAAACCACAGTA